GTGAAAGTTAATACCAAATGTTAAAGTTACTTGTAGGAAATTTATAATCTTTGTTTAATGGTGATAATTGTTAGGTGCTAGTTTTATTGTGTAAGAGACTTGTTTTTCTCCGCCTTATTTATACATCTATGAGCGATCGCTTCCAGGCTTATTTCCTGAGTACAACGCTGAGTTTTGACGAATAATTTTCGCGAAAACCGTGTTTAAACGAAGGCTAAGCGGAATTGCCATACCTGCTATGTTCTGTTCTCCTTTGTAAGCACCTTATGTAGAAGCGGGTGTGGCGGTAGAAAGCATGATGAAGATTATATTTAATCCTGTTTTTTTTTTTCTTTTTTCAAGAACTTCTCTTTTTAATGAAGTGAACGCAACTTTCTAATGCTACTATACAAGAAAAGGTTTTCTAATCCGGACAATACGATACGGCGCATAGGCTCAAGCACTTTACCAAGGGATTTTAGAGAGAATATTTTGTGATTTGATTCATTCAAAACGAAAGGAAGAAATACATTTATTCACTTGAAAATTGAATCTTGAAGTGTATTCAAATAAAAGCAAACATTTTCTCTACGTTAGCTTTTAGAGATGGGGCTCTCTCGTGTTACTGTCATTTTAAAAGGATCTTAAATTAAAGAAAGCTTTAATTCTTAACCTTGGCTTGGCAAAATTCTCTCAGGCCTGAGAAATCGAGCTATTTTGTTAACGCATAGCCTTCTTATCTATGTATTTTCGTAAGGCACATGGTAGGAGAATTCAAAGTTTTTATGGTGGTAACCGTGCCTCGGTTGTGTTTAGAAGAGACTGGCTTCTCTTTGATTGATGACTTGAATTCATGAGCACCCATCGGTGATTTTTCTCCAAATGCTTTAAAAACCTATTAAGGTTATCTGCAGTGCCTTTAACTCTCTGAAAATAAATTTTAAGCGGCACTAGAAGAAAGTTATCTGTTTTATTATGCTCGGTTTCTCATTCCTTTTCGAAATATATTGAGGTTGTCCTATGATTTTTCCATTCTAGATGCTGCTGTATTTCCAAAACATGAAATTTTCTAATACATCTTTCCGCCACTTTTTTCAAGGCAGAAAATGTTAGTGTCCTTTCTTACGGATAATAAACAATCCTGGGAAAATGTTAAAATTCCATTCTCTAAAAATCAGGGGATGTTAATAACAGAATTGCGAACATTTTATGAAATAAGATTTTCGGAATTTTGCTATTAACTAGGAAATGAAGCAGATATCTGGGCGTTTTGTTCTTTTTTAGCTGTCGAAATTTGCAGAACATACGGGTATGTGCGTCAAAGAAATGTTTCGCAGAAAGCAGTGTTTGAATGCCACTGTTGAATTCCTCATTGTAGACTTTTTCATAAATATGTTCCGCTCAGATAGTCTAAAAGTATCTTCATTTTTTTCTCGTTTTTTTCCTCTCTCGTTTATTTTTCTTTAAGAAAATTACTTTTCTGAGAAGTAATTACTGAACCGGTTTCGTGCAAGGACTGAACTTCAGTTTTCGATCGCATACTACATGTACATGGCCCTAGTTTGAAAGCAACTATATATGTGAAGTTTGAAAAGGCAGGAAAAGTTTTGATACGATTGCAATTCAAGTATCTGTTGTTTTTACTAAAAACAAATTATTTCGATGATTGAAAATAAGTCCGGATTTGAGAATAGATAAACCGCGTTGTTTTTATGTTTTTTTTCTTTGTTCTTCTTTTATATTTTTCTAATAGTTTTCGTGATACCCTGCTTTATAATTAGGGTAATGGTAATTGGATTCTCTTTTTTTTTTTTTTTTCCTTTTTAAGCACTTTATTTAGAAGGGGGTTTTTGGTTTTATTTTTTTTTTAAGTTTTTTTTTTTTCCTTTTTTTTTTTTTTTTTTTTTTTCAAGAACTTCCCTTTTTAATGAAGTTAACGCAATTTTCTAGTGCTACTATACAAGAAAAGGTTTTCTAATCCGGACAATCCGATACGGCGCATAGGCTCAAACACTTTACCGAGGGATTTTAGAGAGAATATTTTGTGATTTGATTCATTCAAAACGAAAGGAAGAAATACATTTATTCACTTGAAAATTGAATCTTGAAGTGTATTCAAATAAAAGCAAACATTTTCTCTACGTTGGCTTTTAGAGATGGGGCAATTTCTTAAGCCGCTCTTGTAAAGAAGGTCACGTTGAAATATTTTCTCGTGTTGCTGTCATTTTAAAAGGTTCTTAAATTAAAGGAAGCTTTAATTCTTAACCCTGGCTTGGCAAAATTCTCTTAGGCCTGAGAAATCGAGTTATTTTGTTAACGCATAGCCTTCTCATCTATGTATTTTCGTAAGGCACATGGTAGGAGAATTCAAAGTTTTTATGGTGGCAACCGTGCATCGGTTGTGTTTAGAAGAGGCTGGCTTCTCTTTGATTGATGACTTGAATTCATGAGCACCCATCGGTGATTTTTCCTCCAAATGCTTTAAAAACCTATTAAGGTTATCTGCAGTGCCTTTAACTCTCTGAAAATAAATTTTAAGCGGCACTAGAAGAAGGTTATCTGTTTTATTATGCTCGGTTTCTCATTCCTTTTCGAAATATATTGAGGTTGTCCTATGATTTTTCCATTCAAGATGCTGCTGTATTTCCAAAACATGAAATTTTCTGATACATCTTTCCGCCACTTTTTTCAAGACAGAAAATGTTAGTGTCCTTTCTTACGGATAATAAACAATCCTGGGAAAATGTTAAAATTGAATTCTCTAAAAATCAGGGGATGTTAGTAACAGAATTGCGAACATTTTATGAAATGAGATTTTCGGAGTTTTGCTATTAACTGGGAAATGAAGCAGATATCTGGGCGTTTTGTTCTTTTTTAGCTGTCGAAATTTGTAGAACATACGGGTATGTGCGTCAAAGAAATGTTTCGCAGAAAGCAGTGTTTGAATGCCACTGTTGAATTCCTCATTGTGGACTTTTTCATAAATATGTTCCGCTCAGATAGTCTAAAAGTATCTTCATTTTTTTCTCGTTGTTTTCCTCCCTCGTTTATTTTTCTTTAAGAAAATTACTTTTCTGAGAAGTAATTACTGAACCGGTTTCGTGCAAGGACTGACCTTCAGTTTTTGATCGCATACTACATGTACATGGCCCTAGTTTGAAAGCAAATATATATGTGAAGTTTGAAAAGGCAGGAAAAGTTTTGATACGATTGCAATTCAAGTATCTGTTGTTTTTACTAAAAACAAATTATTTCGATGATTGAAAATAAGTCCGGATTTGAGAATAGATAAACCGCGAATAAAATATAATAAAATGGAATAATAAACATCCTCTTGCCTCAATAAATTTCATTTAAACAGGTCATGCACATATTTTCCACGATATTAAATAAATCCCCTTTTTGAAACAGTCTTTTGACTTAAGTGCGTCATAGATTCTTTCCTGTTTTGTAAATCGCTGAAAGAAATTTATTTCGTGTCTAAACCATTCATTAACAGGTGTCATGTTTGTAAAATTTGAAGTTGGCTTTTAAACTTAAGGTATTAGGGATGGTTTTATCCTCCAAACCAAATAAAGACTCGTTAGAGATAACATAGTCTATTATTGCCGAATTCAGACGTTCCTTTTTCTCTTTGTCTGGAGAAGCATTGTTGAAGGTGTTTCGAAAATCTTGACAGTAAAGAAACTGATGAGGGTTTCAAAGAAAGTTTTTGGATACGATAAAAGATATGTAGACAGCGACAATTTCAAGAACCGGTCATTACTGATCAAAACTCAATCAGATTTAGAAGAGAAAATGATAAAAAGACAGACTTGCACTTGTTAATAAATAATAACGATGGTGTCACAGGTATCCGTTTGTTTTGTGGTAAAACCTGAACANGATCGCATACTACATGTACATGGCCCTAGTTTGAAAGCAAATATATATGTGAAGTTTGAAAAGGCAGGAAAAGTTTTGATACGATTGCAATTCAAGTATCTGTTGTTTTTACTAAAAACAAATTATTTCGATGATTGAAAATAAGTCCGGATTTGAGAATAGATAAACCGCGAATAAAATATAATAAAATGGAATAATAAACATCCTCTTGCCTCAATAAATTTCATTTAAACAGGTCATGCACATATTTTCCACGATATTAAATAAATCCCCTTTTTGAAACAGTCTTTTGACTTAAGTGCGTCATAGATTCTTTCCTGTTTTGTAAATCGCTGAAAGAAATTTATTTCGTGTCTAAACCATTCATTAACAGGTGTCATGTTTGTAAAATTTGAAGTTGGCTTTTAAACTTAAGGTATTAGGGATGGTTTTATCCTCCAAACCAAATAAAGACTCGTTAGAGATAACATAGTCTATTATTGCCGAATTCAGACGTTCCTTTTTCTCTTTGTCTGGAGAAGCATTGTTGAAGGTGTTTCGAAAATCTTGACAGTAAAGAAACTGATGAGGGTTTCAAAGAAAGTTTTTGGATACGATAAAAGATATGTAGACAGCGACAATTTCAAGAACCGGTCATTACTGATCAAAACTCAATCAGATTTAGAAGAGAAAATGATAAAAAGACAGACTTGCACTTGTTAATAAATAATAACGATGGTGTCACAGGTATCCGTTTGTTTTGTGGTAAAACCTGAACAAAGCAGAACAGAGTATTGAAAGAAAAGCCGTGGGGTATTTTGTGTCAATTTTTGTTCTTTTACTGGTAATCGAACACGGATTTTCCCTCCATTGCTTCGAAAATAAACTCTTATTTGACCGCATACTTCAGATGCACGCTCTGTAAAGTAAGAAAGAGGTGACACATAATAGCTAGTGTTCTTCTTAATGAAATAGTTGTAACTACGTACAATGCGGGTGAACCTTTCAAGGTTTGCTCTTTTAATTGAGGGTTTCGAACTGCAACCTGAGTAGACGAAAACTGTTCTGGATTAGTTTGTTGTTTAAGTTTGTTTGGTCAGATATGCCTTGTACTTTCAGTGTTTTGAAAACATAATGTTTACTTTTAATGCTTGTATTTATTGTTTGTAATCAATGTCACCTTCAATTCTTATCAAGTCAGAGTCGCATACGACACAAGAAGGAAACAACATTCCGCCCAAAGGAAGTCTTTTGTCCATCTTCTTGTTTTCCTCAAACAGTGATAAATTTTGTATTCTCTTAACCCTTTCACTGCCAGAGTGTTTGATGGAGTTTTGTAAGGTGATTCTAACTTTTGTGTGTGGACGAAATCCTATGATGTGACCATTCAAATGAAAGCTCTCCGCCTGTACTTTCACATGATGCTATTTGTTTCTCAGAATGTTAGAAAATGAAATTTGGGAATTTGGTAGGAATTTGCCTTTAGCCACGTTTGGCATTGAAAGGGTTAATAAAGGGCCCCATGCCCAACTTTCACAAAAGGGCATAAACTCAGGGCGGAGGAAATGACCTTCAAAGGCCCATGTTAAAATAATATTTGATCAGCTATTTCATGTTCTTTTGTCTCGTTACGTTAGAGGCTACCAGAACAACTGCTTGTTTGTCAAGCGAAGCACAGTTCTGTAGACATCCTTCCTTTCTCAAAATGTCTTTCAGTTTTTCAACTCACTCTCTTAGTATACTGTTTCCTTGAACGCTTACTATAGTATGAGAGCAAATTTGTCTTACGACTACTGTAACAGCTCTCTGTCTACTTTCGTTGATAACTATTTCTCATTGAGAGGGATATGAGAAAGGCTTTTTGCTTACGAGCCATAACCTCAGACTGTTTATCACGAACACGGGTCTCGGATTTACTAACTCTAATTACTAGGAGCACATCGTAATAGATATTTATGCACAAACTGAAAAGCATGACAAATAAACTTTCTTGACTAACATAGACTTCCATGCAAACGGGTTATTTGTATATTGACAGAATTACAAGTGAAAACTTCGAATCTATATTCCAGTTTCTAATAAAAAGAAAGAATATTTTAAAGAACAACCGAAAATGGAGTGTTCCCTGTTTTCTCTCAACCAAATAAAGTGTTTTTCGCTCGATAGATATGTTTCTCAAAGTGCATACCATTTTTTCACCCTTTAATAAAATGGCATTCCAATGTGGAATTCATACACCAGCAATGTGTCTCACCACTGTATTGCTTTCCCATTGAGCTCGACATTTTACTTTGTGGTCATATTATGGTCATATTTCATTGTCTTTCATAAAACTATGCTTTTTTGTCGTGATTGAAGAATATCCGACTTTATTCAAAAGAAAAAAGATGTTGTTATACTGTACTGAAATCCGAGAATGTATTTCAACCTTAAGAAAGCTACATGTATTGTTTGACCAATTTCTGGCCATGCAAAGCAAAACTTCTTTTACTAGATAGAAGAATTTTGTTTAAACCACTAATACAGGATTTTAAATACTCAAGCTTGTAGTTCTCTGAAACCAAATTTGTTGTTGCACCTTAATTTGCACGGGTTCTTAAATGCGTGGGCGCTCGGTTATGTACCTGGTCTTCTAGGAGTGAAAAAAGCCACTTGAAGAAGCTGTTGCATAAAACGCTTTAGTTGCACTTTCATTTACAGAAAGGACGGCCATGGTGGTGAAACTTGATACCTTTAGAGAACATTGTTCCAAAATCATCGGTCATGGCGTCAAATACTACTAAGTGTTTTCCAGTATGTGTATGGATTTTTCCTTACAAGGCAGGAATAGAGGCTTTATTTTTCAAACAGGTGAACATTTCTGTGGAAGCAACATTCCGTTTAGGAGTCGGAAGTTTAAAAGTGGCTACGGTTTGAGTTTGGGTTCATGGATGTGGTACAACTTACTTTGACTGCCTTTCTTATGTAAAGATCTTTAACGTTTATTGTCGTATACAAGTATCCTCAGGTTTTGAAAATACATTTAATTACTCCCTATATACATCGATACTGTTGATGTTTTCAACCTTTGTATGGGTAATGCCATCCGTAAGTGATTGCCCTATGCCATGTTGTCCTTTAAAGGAAGAAATCCAGTACAATTTTGATTGATTTGGTACCACAAGATATCTAACAATGCTTTTCAAAGATTTTCTGTAAAAATGGAATTGTCAGCTAACATTTATCTCTAGACCAGAGAAATACAGACGGTTGAAGGAAGTCTTTATCACTGTTTGAATTTCTATGAGTTTACGATGTGTCTTTTGCCTAGAGGTGGTGCCTCTGACCCAATGGACGTTTATTCTTTGAATCAAATACTACGCTTATTTAGAGTAGTTTCATGTAGAATTCACAGGGCATATAATTTTCGAGAAAAAGTATCACTAACATTCACGAAAGTAAAACCTTTCTATGTTGCAATTCCAACCGGAAGCAATTTATCATTAATAGCCTTGTCCAAACGAAACATATTACTAATTTGCTGTAGGTAGCACACATTCGCAAAGCACAAAGCAAAATTTTGAAGACATTTAGGTGTAATATCTTCTTAGATTTAATCTATTAGTGAATTCGAGACGAAATTATTGCTTGCGATAACTGTAGCTGCTTTTGTCGCCATGTTTATCATGCAAATGCGTAGGGAGAGGTGAATTTGGAAGGGAGAACGTCTTTCCAACGTTTCGTTTTTTAGGAAATGCTTTTACGTCTGTTGGTTTCAAGTAGAGGTTTGGGGTCGTTCCGTGACTTTAGAGGAAGATTGAAAAAAATTTCAAACCTTCCGTGATCGCTGGACAAAAGATTTACATTATGGTTGGGCGACCAGTTGAGATCTCTACAGGGCGCCAGTTTCTTTAAAAAAAAATTGAAATAGAAAAAGCAGAGTCTTACCAAGACAAGCTACAACCTGCCAAAAAGGTTATATCTGTTTGTATCTGCGTTTGATTATAAACATGCAAAATAAAATAAAAAAATTAATCTTCCTGTCCGAACAGAACAAGAAGTCGAGACATTTTCTCTTGCACACGGTTCCAGTTTCCATCCTGGACCTTTCAGAATCCATATATGAATTTATGAAATTAAATTTATGTTAGAAGGTTTTAATCACTTTCGTAGCTTAAGACAGGATGGAAATTTTTCTTAAAAAAATCCATTTCCATATACTGGCATATTTGGGTTAAATTTATAGAAGCAATCCACCCAAAGCTTCTACTTCATTTGTTGCAATTTCGTCATCCAATAACAAGTGACATCGGTTGGGTAAAAATATATGTGATATCAAGAACTCGTGGCAATGTCTTAATGTGGTGATTGGACTGAAAACCTTGTGTAGCGTGAAGAAATAGCGTCTATATTGTGCGGTAGTGTTTCTTTCGAGAAAAAAGAATCAAAAAATTGCTTGTAGTACTGTTAATTACACTACATGTAACTAAACTCTGCATTTTACCCAAGCACTTCTCAATAATAAAAAAAATCAATCGCTTTTATACTCTCAGTATGCAAAGCATTTTGCGAAGCCTAAGTTGAGTGGCGTCTCCATCATAGCACATTTAGCACAAGACTTCTTTTAGGGTTCGAAATATACATTAGCAGTTCCGGTGGTCTTTCACTAGGGAAGTACAGCAGTACTTTCTTAACATAACTGGTAATGATCCAAACCACAATTTTTGACCTGCTCGAGGGCAAGAAAATATCTGTGTCTAATTTGCTTCATGGCAAAGTTATGCCAATCGACGATGTTTTGGCTACGAAATTTCTTCCACTTTCTTTTCCCTCGCGGGTCAATTTCATGATTTCTTTACTATCAAATTCTAGCCTTAATTCGCTTAAACAAAGAAGTTCTCTTTGTTTGGGTAAAGAAATGGTGCGTGTAACAAATAAAACAACACGTGTCCCAGTCGCTTGGAAAAACGTTTTACGTCTAAATTTCAAACATCAAGGACATAGTGTTTAACTTCAAAGTGTTCATATATTATGTTTTATAAAGGACATAAGAAGCAACTTTCGTGTGAAGGAGACAGCAGTTTGTTGAGTGTATATTCTTCAAAATCAACAAAGCAAAGACAGCGATTTGCAATGGGTAATCAATATTACTGTTATCAATCATAATATAAAACTTGGGTTTTTTGGCAGAGCTTTTGTTTATTACAGAACGCTAAGAGAATTGGAACCTATAATTATCCTATCCAACTAATCAAAGATTGTATATTTCTTTTTCTATATTTCTATCTTGAATTGCAACGCTCAGCTTGTACAAAGTCACACCAGTTTCATGACGTTCGAGTGGGTGAGTCCCTATAATCCATATGATAGGCATCGACCACGTGTTATTTCTTATCATGCAAAACTCTAGATAAGTTCTCACATTTCCTACTCTCTTTTTCGCCTTATGACATCCCATGTCCTCTAACTAATCTTAAACCTCTCCTCTTTACTGAATATACCTTCACAGAAGGAATTATTCTACATGTCAGACAACACCACTGGGTAATAACAACAATATTTTCTCAATCCTTCATCAAAGCCCATATTCGTTCCAGCTGATTCAGGTTCTGCTTTGAGTTTATAACATTTAATACGACTCAAAGGGAGTTTTTCCGGTGTTCAAAGGGGTTTTTTGACATACAATTCTGGGGGTTTACAATTCATCGCATATTGGATCCAGATGATGCTAATAAATGAAGGTTCAGTACCATTTTAGACCACCTTAAAGGCCTGTGAAACACTTTAACTTAAACTAAACTCTGATGATGTGGTAACAACTTGCTGAAACTGAACTTCATACAATTTAACACTTAAAGTAACAATTTCAACACTAGTTTCAGCGCAGTGTTATATTTTTATCACGATTTGTCAATGTACACAAACAGCCAAACTCAGTGTTTCAAGATACCTCTGAATGTACCGACTCAGTGACCTTCGGAACTAAAGCTTGTCTGCTAATCTGTAGAAGCGGAAGGAGAGTTTACCTTGAGATCCAGTGGTCCTCAAAGATCAATTCCATTTTTCTAAAGAAACCAACAAGTAGTCATTTTGTTTTCTATCGTCGGAATGACTTGAATAATTTTTTCTTTAAAACCAGGTAACTTGACATTGAGCAGCTCGGTTGCCGTGGCCCAAGCAGGCACCAAGTCAAGACTTAATACTGAGTGAAGTTCAATTCTGCGATTACGCGGTTGCAGAAACTATATAGTAAGTTGTACAAAGTTTACAACAGTTTGATGCTAACCATTGGATTTAACCTCACGAAGTACAAAACCCAGCGTGACGTTTTGTGCGGCAATTGAGAAGCCTACAGCGATGAACCACATCACGCCATAATATGTTCCTCTTCGGTTCCATTCCCAAGCCGGTGGCCATGCTTGAAATATGCCATCAAAACTGCTACCCTGTAATGTACTGCACATTGGGACAATCTACAAATCATTAAAAGTTACGAACCACTCCATAGTGCTCGAGAGTAATCGTGTTAAGCCTGACTCTTCTAGATAAGTAGTATGTATGGAGCAAAAATAGAGAGTTCGTTTAACTGGTTCTTTTACTTTATTGAATAAAATCTTCAAATGCGATGTTTTTCTAAAGCTTTGAGCTTTCCGGCTCCGAAATCCACGATCACCAAACCGGGGTTACGGTTCAGTGGAGATTGTAAGTGCCCGAAGCGGTGTGACCGTTTAATAAGAAGACAGTACTATTTTAAGACCTCCTTCAAGAACCCATTGTTTGTCTGGGTTTTTTCTCCTATGAAAAACAAGTGTAAAACCGAGTTATTTTGTTTTTAGAAAGATATCTTGTAATCTAGTAAAACTTGCCCTCTTTAAAGCTGAGTCCTTTACCCAAGCTTGACAAATGTTCGAATTTATTACGGTCCCTTCGCAACAGCCTTTGGGCAAAATCATGTAGATTAAAAACAGTATAATGAAGAAAGGCCTTTGTAGATGCCGGCTTTTGAACGGATACAAACATCCCAGCCAGAAGCCGTTTGATACGACCACACGACTAATTGGTTTAAAAAGAACGGAGCTGCCTTGTTGGTTTTATTTTGATGTCTTCAAGAACTAAACAAATAGCCTAATCATGGCCATTTCGATCTCAATTTTGAACAGGATGAGAGCACTTGGGATCTTTAGAGTGACAAAGATTAATTAATTATATATGCCGATTGACATAGGGGAGATTGCTTCCTCACTCATGGCTCTGAAATATCACGGTAGTTTTGCAACATTTTCAACCAAGGATGGCAATTTTATTCCAAGACAAGGGAATCTTGACAGTGAAAAAGTGAATTCAGTATGGCTGTACTGCTTCGCCGCAGGCCTTTAGTTACTAGAGCATCAAACAACAGCTTTCTTTGGCTAATCATGCTCTTCTAAAGAACTTAGTTACAAAGACAAATAAAAAACGAACTGATCGATGTCTATAGCTGTGGTTCGGCATTTTCTAAATTCTAAGACGTAATTTTTGTTGCGTAGGAACTATATTTTTTTTGCGTCGACGTGGTTCAATTGTTTTGAAATCACTCGCCGATGACAGCCTTCTAGAAAACACGACAGCATACAAAAGTAAGAATTAAAAGAGTTTCTTCTTTACAAGAAACTGAAATTTTTCTTGTCTTTGAAAACAAAACCATGATATGCAAGAGGAAAGGGAGTTGGTTTATT